GGAAACCGAGCTGCTGACGGTAAATGTGGGGGAAATCCTTCACTAACAAGGAACTTAGTTGCAAACATGCGGTTAATGATTAATGTATAGACACAAAAAATGATGTTCCATAGAGACACTTGTAAGGAAGGAGTTAGTGTCAGAAGTTTATAACATTTAGAAGAGATAAATTGTTTTCGGTTATAAAAATAATGGCTATTTGAGAGAATTTGAAAATACAGTAGAGGACAACAAAAGATAGTGAAAAAGAATATGAAAAGGAATATATATATACAAATATATTTATATATATATAAACAGAATCACTGTGCTGTCCACCAGAAATTAACACAACATTGTAAACTGACTATACTTCAATAAAAAAAGAAAAAACAAACAAAATCACCCAAAATTCAATTAGACAGAAATGACTATTAATTTTTAATAATGTTTTAGTAAGAGGTCTTTTTAATAATAAGAGTATAAAGACTTTAGTAAGTCTTTTTAATAATCATACTTAGATATCACCCAACTTAAAGACACACAACGTATCTTCAAGGCTAGAATTGTACAGTATGTATAAATCTGAATGGTGCTTTTTTTGTTGTTGGCTAAATGCTCAGCGATGTTTATTCTTAACTATAGATGTGGAAAGGCTTTTTTCTTTTTTGAAGACTATGTTTTAGAGCATTTTGAAGTTCACAGCCAAGCGGAGGGGAAGGTACAGAGATTCCCCATGTGGTCCCTGCCCTCACACATGCGTGTTACTGATGACTGTATGTATTTCTGATTATTTCCTTAGAACACATTTCAGAAATGTAATCAACGTGTCAAAGGATATATGCATTTGGCAGATGTTTGCTGTGCAGCCAGACTGCCTTGCCGAAGTTTCTAGTTCCATCTGCCCCACGTGCTGCTCCTCTGCTGGCTCTCCCTCCCCACTGCCAGTTGAACCTGGTCTCGTTCTGCATTCTCGGGGCTTTTCCCCCTAGGCTGACTCCTGCGATCTCTGCCACTCCTTCAGCTTTCAGCTTTTATGTACCTGGGCCCCTTCCCAAGCTTCATTCATTTTTTTAACCCAGAGACTCTATTAAGCGTTTGTTCTGCATCCTCAAGTGCCAAACATACTTACGCTGGGAACTCATTTTTGGGTTCACATTCCTGAAGCTTCTCTTCCGCCTGGACGCCTTCTGCCTTCCCCTTTCTACTGATGGTCCCGAGGGGCTCCAGTCACCGTGGCGTGGCCTGCTGGCCGGTGTTTCCCCTCCCCTGTAATCACTTCCCAGCTCCTGCAGACTTCCTCTGATTTGCTTCTCACCCTCCGCTTTCCGTTTTCCCCACCACTGTCCTAAATTATCCCTTCCTCCTCCATAGCTGGCTCATGTCAAATCCCCAGGCCCCTTCCCTTCCCCTAGTTCCACTTGGACAGGACTTCCCATGATCACCTGTATCTCCATCCGCTGAAGACCCTTCCTGGACCCTGTCATCCCACTCTGTCCTTCCACCGTGTGGCTCTCACCCCCTTCTCAGTCTCACTTCCCATCCCGACTTGCTGAGATCCTGCTGCAGCAAACGATTAGCTCACTGTCCCTGAGCCGGCTTTGCAGAGTCCCCACCTTTCGGACTCTGATTGGCCCCCGGTAAGAAATGGATCCTTTAAGGAAGCACATATCACTGGCCAGCAGCCTGGTCATCAGCAGTTTTGTCCTCACAAGTCGTCAAGGGTCCCTCTCCACATCACATTAAATATTTTCAGTGACCCATTAGCTGAAGGACGATAAGCAGACGTTTTTTCTTTGCTCTTTCCTTTCCTCTACTTCCTGATGCCCCGAAAGAAATGTGAGTTGAAGTCACAGACGCAGAAGGCTCTGGCTGCTACAGAAAGCCCGTGCGGTCGGCTCTGTGAAAGCCGCAGGCCCTGCGGGTGCGGACGAACGGTTAGGACCAAGGCGTCCTGTGCGAAGTAGCTTTACCAGGGGGGTTCCTGCCGGTCCTTCTTTCCTGACCTCTGACGAATCTCACAAGCCAGAACAATCTGCCGCCTCCTTTGTCATCCCAGACTGGGGCGGGGGGAGGTAATAAAAATGTCCTACAGTTGTTTCTGGTGATGGGCGCACAACTTTAGAATCTACTAAAAACCGCTGAATTGTAGTTAAGTATGTGAATTCTATTGTATGTGACTTATATCTCGATAAAGCTATTTTTTAAAACACAAGAACCACTACTTTAGAGGCGAATATTTTATAGGTCAGTAGCAGAGGCCGCTTTACTTCAAAATAAATGAATCTGCAATTAGAGTAATGATTTGTTAATTGGGGGGGCTGGGGGGCACTGGTCATTGCCAATTAATTCAAGCAGTGAACTTGTACTGTTGACTGTGAAGCGCATTCAGCCAGTGATAGTCACCAAATTCTTACCGAATGGCTCCTCTCGGGGGACTGTTGATGGGACCACCTCCTTGGTACTCCCAGACCACGCTAACTCCTTGGACTCTGAAGCCAAACGAGCCTCCAGCGCCATGTCCCCTGCAGCGGCCCTGGGCTGCTGTTCCGGGCTCAGGCTGCGGCTCTGCGGCAGCTCCCAGCTGGGTAGTTTCCTCTGTAAGTGGCTTTTCCTTCCTTCTTGTTGCAGAAGCAGAAGGCAAAACGCTGCAGCCTTGGAGGCTTATTGAGAGCGTGCAGGCAGTGAGGTCCGGAGATGCTGGCAAATAGAGCTTTCAGCATTTCAGAGCAAGGGAGGCATTTCAGCAGGGGCCACCCCAGGAGGATTCTGCTCTGAGACAGTATTGACCAGAACCCTGATACCAGCCTGGGGTGGACTCTCTCCCCCAGGAGCAAGAAAGGCTGGCCTTCCTCTTCTAGGATTTCTTTGTTGTTGTTGTTGTTGTTTTGTTTTGGTGGGGAGAGGTAATCAAGTTTATTTATTTATTTACTCTCAGAGGAGGTGCTGGGGATTGAACCCAGGACCCCGTGCGTGCTAAGCATGCACTTTACTGCTGAGCTATACCCTCCCCGCTCATCTAGGATTCCTGCCTCTAAATCGCCTGAGGGACCAGAGCCACCTCACAACCAGCCGAGGCAGGAGGGGCAGCTGGTGGGTCATCTCCTACTGACTCAGAGCACAGACTGAGAATGCAGATCTCTAAGGAAACGCCCCTTCTCCCCACACTCAAAGATAAGTGCGGTATTTGAGAATACTGTCACCAGACAGCATCGTGCACAGAAACGGAGTGCCTGCTCCTGCAGGTGATGCTCTGCGCTAGCTGACTCCACCGGACTTGTAATTTGACTTTTTAATGCAGTTCTTTTTAAAAATAAAATTGTTTGTGTTTAGGTTTTTTTGTGGGGGAGGTAATTAGGCTTACTTTTTACTTATTTTTCTAATGGAGGGACTGCAGATTGAACCCAGGACCTGGTGCATGCTAAGCACGTGCTCTACGACTGAGCTCTATACCCTCCCCCTGTAGTTTGATTTTAGAAGTTTGACTTCAGTAGCCTATTCTACCTGCTAGGAGGGTGGCAGTGTAACGTAAAAAGGCTCACTTAACACGGATGCCCAGAACCGCATATGCAGCCTCCATCTGTGGGAAGCAGCGTCTGGATTGAACAATGAGGTCCAAGAAACGATCGTCCAGCAATAACTTGGGACAGAGCCGAGAATCGGCATGCGGCCCCATCTGTGGTCAGAACTCAGTGTTCTAGTGACCTGGCCAGTGTTCCTCAGCTGAGAGCAGGGTGGAGCTGAGAATCAAGTGCTAAAATCGTGCTGACCAGCTGCGTCACCACATCATAAGGCTTACCATTCACTGAGGTGGTAACATCCGCGAGGCACAGAATAATCTACCCAACAGCCCGGAAGGGTGGGTGTTATCACCCTTCGTTTATAACTTGCCTTTGCTCCTTGCGCCAGCATTCGCAAAGCCAGCATCTGAACCGGGGCTGCCGGATGCCAGAGCATGTCTTTAACCGCCATGCCACATGAGACCCAGGAGGGTGAGGCCACAGGGGGCTTTCGCTTGAGGTGAAGGGAAGCCCGAGGCCGTGACATCTCTATCCCACCTCCCCAGCCCCCCACCCCATCCCAAGATGACCGTGCCCGAGAGGAGAACAATAATGAGATGCTTTGTGAAGGCTTCAGCTGCTCCACGAATAGGATTAATTCAAGGTTCTTCAGAGCACTGGCTGGGATTCCTTGTTCACTTTCCATCTTAAGTCACCATCTCTTCATTTTGGTCACTGAGATGCTGAGAGACTGAGAGAGGTCACTGTGACCCTTTTGTTTGTTGGTTCTATTATTTCTCCCCAAGTTCAGGATCCAGAAGGGAGAGACCACTTGACAGGCTCTTAATGTGTGGTTCTTGGATTTTCTGGCCTGACTTTCGTGTTTCTGCGTGTCAGGCAGCAGCTACAGGTCTGAACACATCCGGGCTCTTCTTACATCCTGCCTTCTCCCTGCACGCATCACCGTCCTGTAAACTGTCTTCTCACGGGCGCTGGAGGGGACAAGGCCTGTGCCCTGCATTTGCTGCCACGGAGGCACTCCCAGGCCCGCCCCAAGCTTGAGCACAGACTAACAGGCAAATGAACACTGGGGACAGTTCCAGAAGTCCTTGCTTTTAGGCATTCCCTGTTTCCATGAAGCTTTCTGCCTCCGTGATGTTCACCATATGACATTATTTAAGTTCAAATATAAACATGAGTCTTGAAGGATTTTTTTTTATAGCAAGAATCTCATTAAATGCATTTTTCCACTAAAAGTTCCAGAAATTCCCTCCACGTGCATTGTGCACCATAGCGTAAAAGCGCATGAGGATTTGGGGTTTTAAGCGGTGCTTTCTGAGAGTGTTCCATGTATCCTTTGCCAGTACCTCCCTGAAACAGCTACACACACACACAACAAGCCACAGAGAAACATGGAGACTGAACGACGAGAACGTCTAAGGCGCGCACAGCCCACGCGGAGGATGTGCGAGACGTCTCTGCTCCCTGCGAGGGCGGGGCGTCTGGTAACGTTGTGGGAATTTAGTCTTTCATTTACTCCATTAATTCAGGGTATCAAAGAATCAAGCAGGGGGGTTATCACTGAAACAAACTTGAGGCGTAATATTTTTATGCTAACCAATTGGAACAATAAGAGACTAAGAAGAGTATCTAATTGAGTAATAATTAACATTGGCACGAAGAGGACTTTAAAGCAAATTAAGAAAGACAGAAACTTAAAGGGAATGTTTGCTTGCTTGACGTCATAGGAATCATGAATGTGTATCAAAAACAGCACACACAAAATAGAAAGGCAAGGGCCGAACTGGGTAAAAAATATATATATATATTTTATATCTGATGCAACACGTTATGCAACAGCATATACATCCCTGAAGCATCAAGATGCCACATGTGTGGCATGGATAATGCAGCTTTTCAGATGAGGACAGGAGCTGGGCTGCAGGGCAGAGGCAGGATGGAGGCGAGGGCTGGCCTCCAGGGTGGAAGTCGGCTTCTCTCTGCAACAACGAGCCGGGTCTCATGGAGGTCACATGCATTGCCAGAGAGAAGTCCCTTTTAGACTGTCCTTTTCCCGCCCAGATTTGCTTTTCTTGGAATAATACTTAGGATAGAAGCCATGTGTTACATTCAACCTTGCCCATCACCCGAATTCGACTGATTGATTATTTTAATTAAGGACTAGCGATAAAATATTAAATATATAATATAATATATATATAATATATAAAAATATAATAATAAAAATAAAGAAAGCTCCTAAAAATTTCCCCTTGATCCCAACTTTTTCCGTAACAAATTCTCTATTGCCCTGTAAAGGTTGAACCTCAGTCTGATATTTCGACAGTAATATCATGAGGGCACAGAGGTAAAAAAGTGAGTGTAGAATTGTTTTCCCCAGAAACAAAGTTTTCCTTCCTGTTTTGTTACATTGTTGACTTTGAATGTTATGCTCAATAATCAAAACATTAATGTGTTTTTTTTTCAATTGAGTAGGAAGTTGATATTATTCTGTGTTGTCAAGAAAGAATGAAGATGCATTTGGACAAAGCCATTGCCCAGCTGGCGTAAGACATTTATATACAATTGTACTATACACTTACAAGTCTGTCATGGACCGCCTCCCAGTCAGATTTCTCTTAGCGTCTTACACAAGGATTTCTCATCCGGGGACACACACCCACACACACATACACGTTTTTATTTAGAGGTTAAGATAAGGGCTTGGAGAATTTGCTTTAAATTTTTCTTTAAAGAAGTAATTCTTGCAATGCTTTCAAAAGGATTTTTTTCCCCCTAACTTGGAGTGTGGCTAAGATTTCTTTTAACTCAAAAGACTTTTATTCTCTGAAAGAGATTGACTTGTGTATGTTCAGCCCAACACTTGGAAAGTGATGAATTGTGGAGCACTTTTCTATATACTTTCCCTTCCTCCTTAAAAACTCAGTCTTCTCTGCTTTCCCGGCCACCCTGGTCCCTGCTCCTTGCTGCGGCGATTACACCGCTGCGTTCACTGCATCCGCTGCACTGTAGCTGTTTGCTCCCTAGCAGAGGGCAAATTCTTCTTCTCTTGGCAATAGCAGATAGTAGGTACTTAATATTTATGGGGGAATTCGAGGCAAAAAATAAGTCAGAGGAAGGTTTGGAGCAATGATAACAGCTCTCAGCATAGAAGCTGTATTGGCTGAGCCTGCTGCCTCACAGGGATAGAAAGGTCAGCATTCATTTGGTTACAGCCTTGGAAAGAAGTAGTGTCGACCGTGTCACACAAAGGAAGTGGTGATTCTGCCCCTGCCGATGCTCTCAGGGACATCGGCGAGGCAGCCAAAGGAGTGAGGCGCCGCTCCCGCTTGCTCGCCCCGTCCACCTGCCCTTCAGGCTGGGCGCGGTGGCAGCTGGGGAGGGCTGTACGGCTGGGCTCTCCCGCAGGCTGCGACGGGAAGGGGCTCTTTAACTCAGAAATTGGTGAGGAGGGCTCCAGATGGGTTAAGGATGACTGACCACGCATGGCTTGGATAACCGGACGGTTTACTTCATCTATAAACACAAGGCAGGGCAGCTCTGGTATTAATTTCTTGCTTCTGCTCTCTGGGAATTGCAGAAACAGTTTAGCGCGGTTCCAGTCATTTTTCTGTTCTGTTTCCTTCTGGTCCAGTTCCTAATCCTCATTTTTTTCCCTCGACTAAAATCTGCTGTCCACCTCCCGTGTCCTTGGCTCTTCTTGCTCCAGCCTGCTGCCCCCGACAGCCTCCTGCGCGGCCCCGCTTCAGGCCTGTGCAGATGGCTCTGTCTCTGCGTGTGCACTTGATTGGAATCCGCCTGCTAACTGGGTCTCTCTGTCCCCTGCGGTCTCTGCTCAACCCAGCACAGACTGATCCTTTAAACTTGTAAAGCAGTGGGTTCTCATTTCACTGGGAGGAAAGGCTGACTGCCGCCAGGGCCCACCCGGGCCCTGCTCTTCACGTCTTTGCTCAAGCATCACCTCCTCAAGGGGCCCTACCCTGACCATCGTGTTTAAAATCCTCACTCACGTTCCCGGCCCCTCTTCTGCTGTGGTGTTTTCTGAGCTGTGCTGCTGACGAACCACACGAGTTGCTTACTCCTTCTGAGTCCGGCCTGTCACCTGCAGGAGGCTGTGAGCCCCTCTAGGGACGAGACGGCTGCTTTCTCCGTGGTGCGTCTCAGGCACACCATCGGCACCCTAGAGTTATTCGCTGGATGAACCACTCCACAAGTCAGGACGTGGCTCACCTGTCGCCCACGCCTGCCCCATGGGCCTGTGTCTGCACTGAGCTGCCGGCCGGGTGGGTCCCCCCCTGCCTAGCAGGGCAGGAGCACCACGCATCTCAAACCCACCAATTATTTGTCTTCCTTCCCGGGAGGGTGGCTGCTGGAGCATGAGCCTGGGTGGCCACCCATTCCTCACCTCTTTCTAAGCACTCTGACTCCTGCCCTGGAGGTTGGTTCTGACCCTCAGTTTCCACCTCCTGGCAGACCCCTCCTGCTGGGCACCACCACAAACGCAGGTCGTTTACAGAGGGAGGGAGGCTGGCTCTAAATACTTCATACTGTCTCAGGGAATTACTCCCAGAATGGAGACAGAAGACGTTAGGATGTTGAAGGGGAAAGGGAGGTCCAGCTGTGGACAGGTTACTCCAAACAGCGTCCTGTCTGGAGCGGTTTGTGGGTTAGGGAGATGCGCCCCAGATACGGGACCTCGTCTGTTCCCGGACCGGGCAGTGCGGGCAGGGTTCTAATCACTCACACGTCTGGACGTCTCCAGGAGACGCTCATCTCTTGGAGAGGTTGGATATTATGTGAAGGAGGAGGAGGGACCCGGAGAGCTGTCATGGGTGGGGGTGGGTCCCAGCCCCAGCCCAGAAGCGCAGTCACGCATCCTCGTGTGACACGGAACCTGAGCCTGAAGCTGCGTCTCCCCTCTGCGTTTCAGAGCCAACAGAGCTTCCCAGCACGAGCTGGAGAAGGACCTGAGTGACAAACAGGCGGCTTACCGCATCGACGACAAGTGCCACCACCTGCGCAACACGTCGGACGGCGTCAGCTACTTCCGCGGAGTGGAGCGCGTGGATGCGACGTGAGTGTTTCGGTGACATTTCGTTCACCCCCCCTTTCAAATGGTGCAGCTCACAGGCTACGTCGGAGGTCATGGGCGAGGGGGAGAGGGGAGACGGCCTCGTCTGAGCAAGTCCTCAGGACGCACGCCTGTCCCGCGGTCCCTTGCGTCCTTTACAAAAGGGTAAAAGACTTGTTTGTACTTCTAACTATGAAAACAGCACCCGCTTGATGCGGAAAACCTAGAAAACACAGTTAAGCATAAAGAAAATAAAATGTTACGAGTGTGTGGGATGCCCGGGCGGCAGGGTGGGGGTGGGGCGGGGGCACAGGCTGAGACACGGCTCAGCTTCATAATTCTTTTTGCCAGTGCTTGTTAGCCTTGCTCTGTCAATGGGATTTTTTGCCAGGCTCCTGGATGCAGCCTTGGCTTGATGGTCTTCTCCACGCATTATCTTAAAAAAAAAAATCAACTTGATTGAGGTGAAATTCACTTACGCTAAAATGCGTTTGGTGTAGAGGTCCATTTTGGTGAGTTCTGACAGATTTCTGTGCCTGTGTAACCACGACCGCGTAGCTGAGATGTCTCCATCACCCCCCAAAGCGTTTCCTTGTGTTCCTTCCCGCACTCATGCCCTTCCCCTTTTCAAAGTGACCCCCAGTGGATTCTTTCCTGTGAGGCTGGCCACCCCAAAACAGCCCCTCTCTTGGCACTCCTGTGACAGGAACAGCAGCAAGTGCCACCTTCAGGCGTGAATGAATCAGATTCAGATCCTAGGTCCTCAGTGGTCCCAGTGAAACGCCTCTTCCTGGGCCTGAGGTGAGCAGGACGCTGCTTCCTGCTCTCTTTCCAGGGTGGGGTGGGCTGGGGTCCCAGCACACGCTCTGACCACCTGGCCCTCTTCAGACGGCTGGCCTCGATTTCCAGCAGGGATTCTTGGCCTTGCAGAGTGTCGGGGCTGTGGCCTGAGCTAAAACCTCAGGTCGACAGTAAGATTCTCACGTCATACCCTTGTTCCCTCATCAAGCAAAGAACTGTCACCCGTACGCCTGTCTCACAGAGACGCCCAATGCTAACTCACCGCCAGTCCTTCCGGTATTCTACGCATGGCGATGAAGACTTATATTTTCAAAGAATGGTATTATTGCACACGCACTGTTTGTTATAGCCTGTTTGATTTTTTTCACTTAGTGATACAGCAGAAACCTTGTTTGTGAAAATTCTCCTCTACAGTGTGAGTCTGCATGCTGTGTGCATTACTTAAAAAGTTTTTTCAGGAGGGGAAGTAATTATGCTTGTTTATTTTTATGTATTTATTTTTTAATGAGGTGCTGGGGATTGAACCCAGGACCTCGTGCATGCTAAGCACATGCTCTACCCCTGAGCTATGTCCTCCGCCTTGGATTACTTTTTAGAATGTACCATAACTTAGTCAACTTTTCTTTACTTTTGGACATTTTAGGGTGTTTCCAGTTTTTCAGAGATTGGCATAAATATTGCTTAAAATAGATACCCTCACATGCACATCGTTGGAGTATTCCCTCGTGATCAGTGTCTGTAGCGCCCTGTTTGGTGGCACACATACCAACACAGAAATGATACAAGATTCGCAGGGCACCTGCACAGGGCTGATGGGCAAAGTCAGGAAGCATTCCATGTGTTCAGTCCTGGGGATGTGACGTACTGCATGGTGACTCTGGTTAACAATACCGTGTTGTCTGTTTGAACATTGCTAAGACAGTAGATCTTACAAGTTCTCATCACAAGAAAAAAGACTAAGTGATGGATGTTAACTAGACTTACTGTGGTGACCATCTTACAGCGTGTACGTAAATCAGGTCATTATGAGGCACACCTGACATCGTGTTATATCTCAATTATATTGAAGTAAAAGCGATTCCTCGACGTGCACACCCGAAAGGCTCTGGGTTTACAGCGCCCTGAGCACGGGGGCAGCAGTTTACTCTCCCCACCTGTGGGCTAGGAGAGAACCGTTTCTAAACATGCTCGCCAGAAAGTTACCACTCTCTTCGCTCTTCACTGTTCTGACGAAGGGTTATTAGGATGTTGCTGTTTTCTTTAATACTTCTTCGATTGCTCTCGAGGTCGAATATTTTTTCGTAATGCTTATTGGGCCAGTGAAACATGTTTCTAATGAACTACACTCTCCATCAACCCCTTCCCGCCACGTTGGCAGAGGACCTGGTTTATGCCGTGGATTTACAGAAAGTAAGGTAAACAAGGAGCAAGTAAGAAAAGTTTAAAGTCAGCTTTGCTTTGGGGAAGGGGAGGGTACAGCTCAGTGGTAGAGTGTGTGCTGAGCATGCATGATGTCCTGGGTTCCATCCGCAGTCCCTCCATTTAAAAAATAATAAGTTAAAAGTAAATAAATAATGCTGTATGACATCACTTATATGTGGAATCTGAAAAAAAGGACATAAACGACCTATTTATTATTTATAACTTGATGACTGATTTCTTGAGCATGTGTGAGCACACCTGGCTGTCCTTTATGACTGGCTGACTGCGTTCTGTTGCCTCTTGTTTTGTGGTTGGCTTTATTCCTTTGATAACTACGTAAGTTTGAAAACCTAACGCTCCGTTCTGTTCTTAGAAACAATGAACAGTACATATGTGTACATTTTTAAAAATAAATAAATAACTGGCTATCCTAAATTAATAAACAAATAAGCTTTGCTCTGATGGTTACGTTTCATCCAGTAAAACCGGGATCAGGTGATCTGGGCCTTTTTCTCTCAGGATGGATGGTTGCCTGCAGATTGTCGAGGCTGATTCATCATTGTCACCGTCGTCTGGTTCCATTTCCTTTTTTCTCAGGGTCTCGGTGCCCGAGTCCTGGGCCAAATTTACCGACGACAACATTCTTCGCTCCCAGAGCGAGCGAGCTGCCTCGGCCAAACTACGGGACGACATCCAGAACCTCCTGGTGGTGACGGCCAACGAGATGTGGAATCAGTTCAACAAAGTGAACTTGGCCTTCACCAGCCGCATAGCTGAGACTGCAGACGCTAAAAATAAGATCCAGATTCATCTGGCGAAGGTAAGCCGAGCACGGCGGGGCCCCCGCAGCTGCCCTGGATCGAGGGAGGCGGGGGCTCTGGGACCACAGATTCCCAGCGTAAAGCAAGTGACTTCCTGGCCACACAGCCTAGGAGAAGTGGAACCTGGTACAAAGCGCACCCGTATTTCAGCCAGGTAGCCAGGTGTCCGCATGAAGTTGGCACCTGCTGGCGTGGGGAGCGCGAGGAGCGCACGGTGTCACGAAAGGTTCCTAGCATTTAGTGGAAGCCAAAGCACTGTCATGAAAGCGTAACGAATCACTGTTTGTAACTTGGAGGTGAATTTATTATTAGAACATATGGGAGGCATGTTTGCTGTGAAATTATTTCAGGCCTTTTTCTGGAGCACAAAGCCAAGTCCCGGAAGCTGTTAGGTGTTGAACGTTCTCGACTCTGGTGTTGAACGTTCTCGACTGCTTTAGGGCAAGTGGTTTATAATGACAATCAAGTGAAGGACGTAGGCACAGTCAGTGCGTCTCAAGCTAAACAAGGAGCCCTTGCTTCGTTTAGCGTCAGCCTCAGAGCTCCTCTTGTTTCTGGGGACTGCGCTGCGTGCAGAACCCTGCGCTGTCGGCCATGACAGCACCGGAGCGCGGGCGCCGTGTGTGCCCCGGGCTGCAGTGACTTCCCTTTCCTTCTCATGGTGTCTTTGGGCCACAGACAGCGTGCTACATTCTGTGAAGGGCAGAGGGAAGGGGAACCTGTAGTTTTTGTTCCAGAAAGCTTAGGTTCTGGAGAAGATGTGCCTCATACATGCAAAGCTCATGCACAGCTACTAACACCAGGAAGTTACAAATGGTGGTTGCCAAATGACCAATACGAAATTGTTTTGGGGTCTGGAGGAAAAGTGAACATGCTGGTGGGGCCACATCGTGGGCGAAGCCTCGGGAGGTAGCCAGTCAGAGACTGAGTCAGGTCTGCAAAGAGACCAGGCTGGCTGGCAGGGATGGGGTGTGTCCTGGGAGAGAAGCTTGGAAAGGCAGTTGGAGCCGGCGCAGGTGCGGGGATGGGGCTGGAGGGAGGAGAACCCCCTTCCCATCTGGGGGGCAGGGGGCCCCAAATGCATGAGATGGGGAGGGCACAGCACCCAAGCCCCCGGTGTTTGCTTCTCCTCGTACAGACCCTGCAGGAGATTTTCCAGACTGAAATGACCATCGAGTCCGTCAGGAAGGCCATCAGGGACAAGTCTGCCTTCCTGAAGGTGGCTCAGACCAGACTGGACGAGCGTACCAGGAGACCCAACATAGAGCTGTGCAGGGACATGGCGCAGCTACGGTGAGGGGCGTCCGGCGTGGGGCTGGGGGGAACGGCGAGGGGCACGGTGGGGAAGGGGCGCCCCGTTGGGGGAGACCAGGTAGAGGGGACAGCGAGACAGGTCGGGGGATGGGACGGCGAGGGACTGAGGGGCCCTGGGGGGGGGACAAGGACAGGGAGCCCCGGGAGCTGGGGGCAGCGTGGGCTCTTGGGGAAACTCCCAGCCTGCCTGCAGCTCTGAGACGCTGAGGTGCGTCTGCAGCGCGCTGGGATGTGGAAGGTCGGAGGGTGACCCCGGGGCGGGACTTTTCTTTAAAGCGTCAGTGGTGAGGGGTAGTGGTGAACGAGCCCGAGCTGCAGTCTGAGGTGAGAGGATGGTCTCCAGGTGGAAGTTTGCACAACACTGTGAATGTACTTAGTGCCATGAGCTGTGTATTTAGGAAGAGATGAGGTGGTAAATGTTGCACCATGTATTTTGTACCACGCTTGAGAAAAAAGGAACTGACCTCAACACACACACAAGCAAAGTGTGAACAAACTTCGGCCTCATCCAGGGGGCAAGGTGGCGGTGGGGGCCTTTGCACCTCCTTGGAGCCTCCGGGGTTTCCAGATCCCCAGCCTCGGAAGCGGCAGGGAGGTTGGACGCTGTGTGCTTCGCGGTGTCCTGGATGCATCAGAAAAGGGACTTGTGCACCGACCATCCCCTCTCACCGTTGCTCTCATCGGCCTCTTGGGGCAGTTAATACCTGCGCCCCTTGTTAGAAGCGTCCTCACGACCCCCCAGCCCCTCGATGGCTCATTGAGGCGCATTTCAGTTTGTTCCGCTCTCAGCAGGAATTGAAAGCAGCCGGCCTTTTTCATGAAGCACCTCCCACGTGTTCAGCCACACTCTTCTCTGCTAAACACGAGGTGTATTTTGTTCGTATTGTGTTAACTTGGGAGGTTCCTTTCAGGATGGGCTTGTGTGGAGTTGGCCCTGCCCCACCCCCGCCCCCGCCCCACTTCTGGCTTCCTTTCCAGTTTCTCATTCCCCGGTACCTGCCTGCCTGACGCCTTCTGGATTCCATCACTGCTATTCTTAGGTCCTGAAGCGCGTCATGCAGAAGCAAATCAAATTTATAGCAACCGGAGGAGCAAGGGGCAGCACTCGAACCCCTCCCCCCCGCTGCAGCCGGAGACGCTGCTAGCCCTGCCCTGCGCCTGCTCCAGCAGTGGAGCTCCCTCACATCCTGGGGCCAGAACGTCTCTGAGCTCTTACCTAAGAGCCCAGCAATGGGGTGAGGCTGTGGGTTCCCTGCAAGGGACAGCATGTTTGTGAGGCCGAGAATGATGAGAATGATGATGAAGATGGTGATGGTGGCAGCAACTGCAGCTGCTTCCATTTACTGGTCTTGCTCGGTGCTGGACACGGTCCTGCCTACTTTACCTCCTTCATTATCTTCGTTTTACAAGTAAGGAGACTGAGGCAGAAGCAGCCTGGGGGCCTTGGCCCAACTGGCACCTCTTGGGAAGCGGGAGAGGCAGAGGTTGAACCCTTGCCCGTCTCTCGGAAGAGCTCCGTTCAGCCAAGCCAACGACTCGCTTCTGCTCCTCCGTCTTTCATCGGACGGTGTTTTTGCCGTCCCTCCTGTCCTGCGCCCGAGCTCATCTGGCCTTCTCAACGGCCACGTGGGATGGGTCAGCAAGACCGGTGCTGGCTCCCCACCCTTCTCTCTACGGCGGATGGCACTGAGGGTCACGGAGGAGGCGACGTGCCTGCAGAGCCCCGTACGCGGGTGGCGCGCGTGTCGTCTGTGTCGGATGCTAAGATGTCGCTTTTTAGAGGGGCTTCGGGCAGCGGCCTGCTTTGACGTTTTTGACTTAACCGCGCTGTTACACAACGGGCCATTCATCCCCAGCTGCCCCTGAGACGCTGGGTGACTTTCAGTCCTTTCTCGCCCTTCGCGGCTGAGCAGAATTTGCTCTTCCTTTCCCTCCTGCCGACCCTGTCAGGTGTCTGCTTCCTCTGCCCCTTTACTGACTTCAGGACAAAACCGACTTTTGTTTCTGCAAAGATTTCTCGGTAAAATATCGTTGCCAAAAATATGGTCCTCGAGTAACAGCGGCGGATTTCAGGATGACTATGGGGGGAGGGGAGTTTCCTTGTTCAAATGCTCATTCTGACCGCAGCCCTCGGGCCTGTAGATGAATTAAAAATAAGGACCAGGGACTCAGGGGAGTGAGGCCTGAGAAAACGTACTATTTTCATTTCAAGACTTTTTTTTTCATTTGAAGCTTTTGAAACGGGTTCTTTGAAGAGTAATTCTAAACGTTTCCGTCGGCATCCTTGGTGGTGGGCCAGACCAGGCTCCACTTTACTTCATCTTGATGTGTGTGTGTGTGTGTATATTTTTTTTAAGTGTGGTGGTTTTATTTGTATTTGAACGCAAAACGTTTTTCAGTTCTCTAACTCCCCCAAAATGAGTAGTTTCAGCAGAACAGCTCTCTGCCCTCTGCCAAGAATAAGAAACTGAGAGCGAAACGCGGCCTTGACCGATGAGGAGAAACGTGTTTGTGACGGTGCAAGTTGAGGGAGGCGTCGGACCACTGGGCCGCCTTCACGCAGCCACGGGAAAAACAAGGATGTTAACTGCCTGCGTCCTGAGAACCCTGAATTCCTTTAATTAATTTAAAACAATTGATATTTTAATGCACATTTTTTCAGAAGATCCGTCACTGATCAATTTTCTACTAGACGAGCGTTTGGCTGCAAGGAGTGAAGGCTGTCAAATCATCCTGCTCCACCCCTGCCTTTGGATTCAGGGCTCCTTCTGAGGTCGCGGAAGCCACTCAGGGGGAGTGGGAGGCGGGAGGCAGGCTGGCGTGGTTATAAACAGCCTGCCCTCAGAGACCCCATCACCGGCCGGCTCCAGCAGCCTCTCTGAAGGTCTGCTTCTTTGCTAGTGATGCTTTGTACCCTGGGATCTTCAGAAAAGGAACTCACTTTCAAAAAATCCAACTGGGCCTCAACAACGACACCAAAACATGCTCTCAGAGCAGGTCTCAGATGGAGTGCTCATGCCCGGCCCAGCCCGAAAGAGATGCCAGCACTCGCGTTCAGTTCCTTCCCTCCCCGTTGGAAGAGGGCAGACGGGCTCTAAGATGGACGGGGGTGCGCGGTGTGGACGTTGTCTCGCTCTGTTGTTGCCTCCGTGAGCCCTTCGGGGCGCTCTGCGGGGCGCTCGCCCGTGGGCTGGCTGCAGGTGGCTCCCTCTGGCCTGTGCTCCCTCTTCACTGCCCGGGGTCTGCGTCTTGTTCTTGGGAGACCTCATGGATGTGGGCCTCCGGGCAGCTCCCTACCTCCCGTAGGGACCTCCGTCACCGAGGACACAGAAGTTGGTCTTCACCCAACGAGCGTTTTTTGCGTACCTGTCAGCTGCCGGTGGGGCGCTGGGTGCTGCCTCTCTGGGCCTGGCAGCTGGCAGGCACCCCAAGGACTGCAGGGGGTCGGTGCTCCCGGGACACGCGGCCGCGGGCTGCGGAACTAGTCCCAGGGCTGTGGGAGGGATGTCCCTAAGAAGTGTCTGTCCACGTGGGCTTTGAGGGTGGCATGCATTTGTGGGAGGAAGAGTCGGGTAAGAGCGTTCTGGGCCTGGGGGGATAGCAAAGCTGTAGGCTCTGAGGTCGGAAATAGCAAGCACATTGGAGGACGTGCCTGCAGGCTGGGAGGAAGGGCGTGTGGGGTGCCTGGTGAGGCGGGGGACCAGGATTTTACGACTGAGGGATGTCGGGATGCGAGGAAGAGGGTGGGGTCAAGGATGAACAGGGTTTTGGTTTCAGCACTGGCGAGGATGATGTCACCACTGCCTGAGATGGGACAGGCAGGGAGCCTGGGGGACTGGTGACACGTCTGCTCCATTCCCCACCTTGGCCTGGGTGAGCCCCGGCCTGCTGTGCCCACCAGGGAGAGTGTGCCCAGGAGGTGGGCCTGCAGAGCGGTCCTGGGGAGTCTCCGAACCACCTCTGCTCATCTGCCGAGGCCTCGGACGGAGCTGCGACGTCTGCCCGCCACGCTGCCCGTCAGCCGGGTCACTTCCCATCCCCTCTCTAGAGGTCAGAGAGGTCAAGTCCCTAGAAATTGTGTTTCCTTTTTGAAAATTACTTATTGTTTTCTCTCTGGCTTCAAGAGTTGTATCTGTTCTTGATAGCAAACCAGAAAATGAAAGGAAAAAAATAAAAACCGTCCTTAATCCCCCTTGCCTTGGGTGGATAACCAGTGTTACCCCCCAGGCACGTGAACAGAATCACCGTGGTGCGGCAGGAGGGTTCCACATCCTGACTTTGCCAACCAGTGTCCGATTCTGAGTTTCCCTCCCCAAGGCAAGAGCTAACTTTTCTAGAAAGTGCCGCCTGCATAGTATTCCGTCATCTGGCCACAGTGTCCACTGCCGTCAGGTGTTCACGCTCCCCCTTGTTCTCTCATGATGCGGTTCAGCACAGGATGACACGATGGCGAAGCCGTTCCTTTGTCCTTTTATGTCAAAGTCTTCACTTTGTTTAAACTCACACGTGAGGCAGGGATACGCTCTGATTTTAAAACAAATTCAAACACCAGCGACCTATATGGGGTGCAAAATAAGAGCCTCTTTTCTGCCCCTCCCCAACCTGAACCACACTGATTTGGTGCGTCTCCTTAGATGCACTGACAGTTTGTCCTTTAGGAAAAGGAGAGGGTTTTGAGTAGAAAGACTGTGGCTTAGGTGTCATCTTGAATTAATATTCTGCGAGAGCCCATTTTGGGCCTGTACTGTATCGGCTCCTGTGGTGGGGTTTCCAGATTTTGCGAATTAACAGCCAGTTAAAAATTTTTTTTAACACTCTATATTTGGTGGGGGGGTAAATTTGGTTTATTTATTTATTTGTTTAACTGGAAGTACTGGGGATTGAACCCAGGACCTCGTGCATACTAAGCATGTGCTCTGCCACTGAGCCACACTCTCCACCCATCACTGCTTTTTTGTAAACCTGTTTCCTAGTCTATTTCTTGACTGACCACGTGGCCATATCCTTTGGATGTTACTGGCCAAATCAGTGGGTAAAGGAGTCCTTGCTTAATTGAAGAGAAAGAGTTTCTAAATAGACACACAACAGAAGAAATCACAAAGAAAAAGAAAGATTTAGCTCACTAAAAATTGAAATCTTGGGTATAACAAAAATATCATGAATAAAATTAAAAGGCAAAAGACAAATTAGGGGAAACATTTGCCACAAGCTTAACAGACAGAAAGAATGAATACGCCTAATCGTTTCAGAGCTCTTTGCGAACATTTAAGGTGATTGGTGAAACATGAGCAGAAGACAGAGAGAGGCAGATCACGGGAAAAATGCAAATGCCGGCAGATACTTAGGAAAGGTTCACTAATAATCAAAGACATAAAAATCAAAACAGTATCAGTTAAAAGAACTGGACAAGGAGCTGCTAGACTCTCCCCGCGAAACGATGCCCTTTTTCCTCTCTCTCTCAGCAGAATCAGAGCTGTAACTTGTTTGATGGTTTGGGGAGCTGGCTGCTGCACGATCACTGTCATGTTCTGTTAGGTTTTTGACGTTTCGATATTTACTCTGGAAGCCTGAGGCGTTGCTCCGGGGGCGTTGCTCTGGGGAGGGGCATTGTTATAACTGGCAGAGTGCCCGGTTCACTAACCCTCCACCCTGGCAGGATAGGTAGCAGGTACGGCTGAGTTCTAGCCACTGAATAAAGCTGGGCCCTCCCTCTTCCCGACTGTATAAACAATTTTCAGTGAGAAAGTACGTGCAGAACAATTAAGCTCTTTGGATTTTCCCCATCTTTACTACTGAAAACCGTCAGACGTTGAAAAGCTTTCCCTCTTTTTATGTATCATGTTTCATGTACGTGTGCAACGTGTGCAGGAACACTTGCTGGCGCCCCCAGATGTGCTTGGTGTGCCTTTTGGATTCTGGGCGCAGACCGCAGGAGGGGCTCTGGTCTGAGAGGACAACGCACAGGCGCTGCCTCCCTGGCGACTTTGCGACCTGAAGTAGCTCTGCCGTTGGTGGGACCCGTGTGCGGCTCCAGGCTGGCGTGCGCCCAGCCCAGCAGCCGCAGGTGCAGTGGGAAGTCAGTTAACCAGGCCCCCCCCCGATGGAGTTAACGCCAGGGTGACCTCCGCTAGCCTAACGGGTGCCTCTTGCCCACGCAGCCTGGTCAACGAGGTGCACGAGGTGGACGACACCATCCAGACCCTGCAGCAGCGCCTGAGGGACGCGGAGGACACTCTGCAGTCGCTGGTCCACACCAAGGCCACCCTGGAGCACGACCTGGCGGTCAAAGCCAACACCCTGTACATCGACCAGGAGAAGTGCATGAGCATGCGCAAGAGCTTCCCCAGCACCCTGCGGCTGGTGGGCTTCTGCTAGGACCCCCCCCCCACCGGCCAACCGGCTCCCCGCGGGAGCAGGAAAGGTGGAACCCGGGCGCGTGCGCACACGGCATGAGCCCTGATGCACCCACTTATTAAAGGATCGTATTGATAGACATGTACCGGGCTCCCATCTTGGAAAACCTTTCGTTTGTGTCCAGACCTTAATTCTCTACGATTTACTGGGCTTCTGGGCCAGAGAAATATGACCAACGTAATAGACCAGGTGAACAAGATTATTCGCAGAGCTCTTGGTGTTCTCTGTGTAACAGGAATGGGCCGGAAAGGAGAAATGTGTTTTCTCGGAGGCCGTGGGGTCAGGAATCCCCCCAGGGCGGATTTTGAGCTGCGCCTCCAGGGAAAGGCGGACAGAAGTGGACAGGTCTGTGGGGAGGTGGTGGTCGGGGTAGTCTGAGCAAGGGCGGAGATGGAAAAAGTTAGCTGCACGGGGACAGTGGTAAGGAGACCAGTTTGTGAGTCATAACGCAGGTGGGTGCGCATGAGGAAATAGGGTGGGCGACTGGAAAGGGGGAGGGGCTTCAACCCCAGGTTCAGGAGTGGGGGAGTGACGCACAGCTCTGCGCGGGGACACAGCCTTGTCAAGCAACGACTGAGCGAGGAAAGGGAGCCGGAGAGATGGCTGCGGAAGGAGAAATGCAGAACGTGTTACAGGAAATGGGCGGGACCGGCTACCTCTTTACGTGCGAGTGATGCCGAGTCCAGGGTGAATGGAGGCATGGGTGCTAGGTCGGCTGGGAATCGGCGCTTTGCTTACGCTCTAGGAGGCTCCGTGTTATCTCAGGGTTATTGATTTATTCCTAAATAACTTTTTCTTTGTTACTAACATTTACTGATACGTATTTTGGAAAATAGAGAAAACACACACACGCAGAACCCCTCAAAAGTATGGTCACAACACCCAGAAATAATCACGACGTTTGCCAGCAGCTTATGGTATGTGCGTTCAGTCTTTTTGTGTGACCTTTATATGTGCATATAACATTTATTTACATAGGTAATGTGCACTTTTTGTATTTCTTTGCAAGTAGGTGTAGCATGTAAGGCTTCTATTTAAATTCATAATTAATAACAATATTTGGGGCCACACCGCTGATTTGTAATCTCCTTCTCCCTATTCAAATATTATAAATGGGCTTCCATGTCATTAGCTCTTCACGCACAACATCACCTTTTAAAGCTTTGCCTTTAGTGTCTTTCAAAACGATAAATACCATTTGCGGAAGTTCCAGAAATACAAGCAGTAACATATTCACGTTTCTCTGTCTGACTTCTTTTACTGGAATCTAAAAAAGAAAATGAATGAACGTAACAAAACAGAAACAGATTCACAGACATCAGAACAAAGTAGTGGTTACGAGAAGGGGGAGGGGAGGGGAGGGGAGGGGCAAGATGGGGTGAGCGATTAAGAGGTACAGACTGCTCTGTATAAAATAAATAAGAGTCAAGGACATACTGCACAGCACAGGGAATACAGCCACTATGCTGTAATGACTATTTTTACTTACTTTTTATGTTTTTAGTTGCAGTCTAGTTGATTTACAACATTGTGTCAGTTTCTGTGTACAGCGTAGTGACTCAGTTTTACATATACATACATTCTTTTTCATATTCTTTTTCATTTTAGGCTATTAGATTTTGGATGTAGTTCCTTGTAGGACCTCTTTGTTTATCTACTTTATAGATATAGTAGTGTGTATCTGTTAATCCCATAACTTTAAATGGAGTGTAATTTATAAAAATATTGAATCACTATGTTGTACACCTGAATCTAATACTGTAAATCAACTGTACTTCAACAAAAAGATGAGACACAGACATGCAAAGGAAGAAGATAAAAATCTTCCATATTTCTAGACTCACCAGATGCCTTGATATACCTGTATTTTATTTCTGTATTTATGTGCATGTTTTCCTTGCAAAAATGGAATCCTGAATAAAGCAGCCCTTAGAAAGCACTTGCTAGTGACAGACCTCATTCTCCGTGCCCGGCTCACCTCGGCTCGTTTGTGCTTGTCCCATGTGAAAATACATACTCTTTGCATGTCATTAAGCCTCTTCTCACAGCTTCACTTTAACGGCTTTTTAATAGTCCATTACAATGAGGTTCTAGAATGGTCTACGACCAAGTCCCCATTGTTGGGTACTTTTATGTTGCCTGGCCCTTCTTTATCACCATGTAGCCATGGTTTAGTCTTACTAGCTAAGTGTTGGCAGACATCTTTGATATTTTCCTTAAGGTAAGTTCCTAGATCGGGAACCATGACATCAAAAGTTGTACACACACCGACAAAGGCTTTTATGGTGGCTTGTTAAGTCGCCCTCCAGGAAGTTTATGTCACCTGGCACTCCTACCAGCCGCCTAGGAGAGGGCGTGTCTTTCTGCATCTTGATAACCCCGTTATCTTTCTTTCCTACGGAATCAGAATGGTCTTGCTGCTTTCAGATCTCGCCTGTGGAGAGCAGTGATGGAGAACGTTACTCGTGGGCCCTGGAAGCGCTTCTGTCAATCGCTTGCCCTTGTTATTTACCTGTTTCCCCGGAGTCTTTATCTTTTTTTATTTGTTTTTAAGAGTTCCCTCAGTATCAGTCATTTGACCGCTTCATCACGGGTACTGAACATATATTCTGCATGTGCCCCTGCCTTTACACTTCATTTATGGTTTTTAATGTTCGGAGGGTGAACTGTGTAAACATTTCCTTTATGATTTATTTCTTTGGAGTTACACCAGGAAAGCTCTCCCTCACCCCAAGATGATTTACTTACAGTGTCTTCTAATTCCTTTCATGGCTCCTTTAACTGCACTTAACCATCCGGAATTCAATCTGTTGTGAGGCAGAGAGCTCGCTCTGATCCAGAAGCTCCAGAACGGGAAGATGAGATGACCAGAGGGCCGGGGTCTCTCTTTCCTCTCCCACGTCTCGCTGCTGGCACCTTGCATGTGGATGCAAGACCCATCTCTCTCTCTATTAGCATTTCTTTCTGCCTGGGTTTTCCTTGCTCTGCCCTAACCACTGTCTATTAACCCCAAGCCCCATTTCTCTCTCTCTTTCTCTCTCTCTGTGTCTTGCAGGATTTTTTTCAGCAGACATTGGCTGCTCAACTTCACAAAGCATCTCAAAATGCTGGTAAACAGAAAGCATGATAAACTTGTACTAGGGTTATTTTCGCAGCCTCAGTGTATCATTTTAGAAATCAAATTGTAGGTTTCGTCATTCTCCCTCTGCTTCTAATGGAAACAAAGATATGTAAGTGCCGCTGAAACACGCAGCAATTAGAGCAATCAAGTGTTGGTGGGCATCGGTTTTAGACAGTAGTAAGAATAAACATAAATTCCACGTCTCACTTGTTACATGTTTCGGGGAAAATCTGGCCAACTTTTTCCATAAATGATCATTTTTGTTTTATATATATATATATACGTTATTTTTTTTTCGAGGAATATGTGAGTGTGGAGTCCTTTTACTTAAACATGCGTTCCCAGCATTACAGGAGTGTGATGGGAAGAAAATGTCGTTCAGACATAGGAAAAGGCTCGTCTTCTTGTTATTTTGGTAAACTGTGGGCAAGGCTCAATGCCACAAATAAACATTGGGTTTCTGGGCTTACACGCTGCAGCAAATACTCGAATGCTGGAGACCTGACCAGCCAAGTGTGGGATCCTGTGTGAGGATCACAGGTCTCCGAGTATCAACACGTGACCTGGCTTTATACATTCAGGCCCAAACTATCTTTAATATCACGTGGCTTTAAGAAGGGCTGCTGGAATGTCACAGGCTTCCACCCGCCCAAGCATCATTCAGATTTAGACATGTGTGTAACTGCCCCTAAATAGCCAAGTCACCTATAATTTTAGTAATTTCCATTTATGTCGCTGGAGAGTGTTGTCATAAACACCTCGCCAGGCACTTTTGAGTCCCAAGTTCATGCTGTAAATAGCTGAGGTGGGGTCGGGTTCTAGGTTATAATTTTTGTTTTGCACTGAAAATGGGGATGGGTTCCTTCCTTTCGTCGGCAGGGCTGACCCAGCGCGGGAGGAGGTGGAGTTGCTCCTCGTTTTTGGGGCCCCCAGATTTCCCTGTTGGTCTCTCCTCTTCTAGTCCCAGCCTGCGAACTCTCCCCAGCAGAGCTGGGTCCACCGCTGGTGGTGAGATCGCCAAGGCCAGCCTTCTGCGCGGGATGTTCTGCCAGTGTTCCCTGAACCCTGTGTATTCACGCACTCTGGGCAAAAGAGACAACACCTACTCTCTCCACCAAGGACGGAAAATCTGTTTTACCCTGGGGACCAGCTCTAGACCACAGCCACCCTTCTCTGGAGTGTTGAGAAGGATTCTGAGGCCACACAGGTAAGGACCTAGAGGTCCGAAGGCTGGTCCAGTCCGTAGGGGTCCAGGACGGGCACGTGGCAGCACAGATCCTGTGATCTCCGCTCCGCACAGTTCTGAATTCTCCCTCAGCTCAGATCTCTCTCTCCCAACATCGGAAGGGTTGCCTTTTGTGATCAATGGCTCGTCCCCCTCAGGACCCGGCTGTTTGCTAATTTTGCTAAGAGAAAATAAGAGATCCTTTCCGCTGCCAACTTTTTCCTTTTAGCAAGGACCTTCCAACCGTGCTCTTGTTCACTGTGACCAAAAAGCGACCCTGGTAGCATCGTGGTAGAGGGAGGAAGGAACTCTGTTTAGAATCAATTAGACATTATCAAAGGTTGTAGGGTTTTTTTTTTTTAAAGAAAATTATTTTAAAACCAATGTGTTAGTTTCTCCAACAGCTATTCAGTGAGGGTATCATCTTTTGAACAATGGTGAAGTCTTAGACCTAAACTTCTTTGATTCTGTCTTTAACTAAAATTTAAGGACAATATCTGCGTGTGAACTTGGTTTTGGCAGATAGAAGGAAAAACTCTCCAACCGTAGGACAGAAGGTAACTCAATTCCAGAAATCAGCCTTGTCTAGCATCCTGCTGGCGGAAACCGCGGACACTCACAGACCGTCGGACTGCCCTCCCTGGGCCTGGGTCTTGGCAGCATATCTCCCTTAAAGAACATTCAGTCCCAAATGAGAATTTATTGTGTTTTGTGACATTTAGCGGCATTTTGGTGCCAGTTAACTAAAATAGGTTCTTTCCCGTATGTGTGCATTTTGGGCTGTCACCTGGGCTGGGAGTTATAGCTTCAGAAATAGCTAACTTCCTCTCGAGAGAAAGGAGAATTTAGAACGAGGTCCCTCCCTTTCTTACCTTGGTTTGGATTCTGTTCATCTGACCTTGTGGAGTTCAAGACCCTTAGCTCACGACATATTTCTTTGCTTGCCTGGAGCTCCGGATACACAGGGATGTAGTAATAAAATGAGGACCAAATGTTGTGGAGTAACAGTGTTAGGAGACGTAGAAGGGAGTCTAAGTGTGAAATACAGAGACGAGGAGTCAATGAAAACCCCAAACCTGCAGACGCAGTGCTGTCTAGGGAGAATGTCGAGGGTCATCGGAGTTCTGATTGGGTGGTACTCAGGATGTGCAATTACTTTCAAGGAGGAGAGAAGTTTTGAGATGTGTTTATTGTTCATCCTTCAAGAAGAGAGGCTAATGTTTATCTCTTAGGGAGGGGGACGCTCAGAGGCTCAGGGATGAGACAGAAGGACCCATGGGTGTTGAAATAATGATCATCTCTGTTGGTCAGCTTCATGATGGAAGAATCTATCTGTGTAAGACAGAAAGGGACTTCGGGTATTAAATGGTTTCTTAAAGAAACAGACTCTTGGCTGATTTCCTAAATCTCAAACCACGTTGCTAAACCAGGCCACCTAGGAAGACGCCTTTATCGGACCAGGAAAACTCCCATCCAGTTGAGAAGCCACCTCTCCGGCTACTCCATCCAGAACTATTTCTATTGGAATCAGAAAGCTGCCTCTGCCAAATCAGGGAGAGGTGAATGCAGCTCCCAACCCCCGGGACATACCTTCCTCATCTTCAGGGGCAAAATCCACACCTTATATCTCTCTTCTCTTCCCCTACAGCTGAGACCCCACATCAGGCCTCGCATGGGCACGGCCTGGTTAGTGCAGCCCCTCACATCTGCAGCTGGGGTTGCAAGACAGTCTGGGAAATGTCGTTCTGTTAAGAGCGTTTAGCCTCTAGAGTGTAGCGGGGCATCCGTTCTGAGGGTCTGAGCAGACACCGAGGTAGCCAAACCCGTCATCCCAAAGTTGGAAGAGACTGGTTGGAACCAGCTGACTATGATTAGGGATTTGGACTTGTGCTTGGACTCTCCCATGAGGTAGGGCTACGCTTCCCTCTTCCTGGAGCTCAGCTAAGTCCCAGATGATACGATGAGGTT